CACCCACCACACCCCATACCCACACCCCACACCCACACCCACACCCACCCACACCCACATCCACACTCCACCCTTCTGAAATTTGTTATGCAAACTAGTCTAGCTGAGGCCTTTATGGAAGCAAAGTTTCAGGTCAAAATTCGGAAGTATAGCTTTGCTAACAATATAGGCATACTATAGAGAAAATTCACTAGGAGCTCGGTATCTCCTGAGAATCAAGCCAGAAACCCGAACTTTACTATAGGCATAGCTCACTATGGGCTACAAGATGCACAAAACCCCGGCTGAAAAGCACTCCTTCACCTGGGGTGAGGGTTGTGGGTGTGGGTGTGGATTATCTCTTTACCCGCACCCACATCCTCGCACACCCACACTCACACCCACCCACACCCACATCCCACACCCGGATCCACACCCACACCCACACACCCACACCTACACCCTGAACACACTCGATGTTTTGAAATCACCGCGCAAGTTGGAAAGTTTTAGTGATTATTAACCAAGTCTTTTTTCCAACGGAAAACTGATTTTTGTTTTTTCAAGCATGGAATAGGGATAAAGTTAAAAAAGTTTCTGCGACTTTATTTTTTTTCTTATCTCATTTAACAACATCACTAAAAGCAAGAAGACATCACTTGTCATGATTGCATAATAAACAGATGATAACAGCTTTTCCTATTGGAAATATCCGAATATATCTCACCTATATATAGTGGTGAATAATATTTACTTTATAGAGCGTCAATAACTCTTTAACCTATCTGTCATGCATACGAGGTAAGATATAACTTAATTCCTTAAAGTGGAATCACTTATGAACAGATATTTTTGATTTAATGGAGTTAGAAAGCAAACTGTAACCAATGATCTTGTTTTTTAGTTGAGATAGTGCGTTTTTTCGCTTAATTGACTATTTTCTTGCGAGGAAAATACTTGTTAATGTATACACCATCTCAAGAAATGCATGTCTTTAAAAGAAAACGTTCTTTGCCGAAGCCAATATGTTTCTCAAAAATGAAACGAATCTTTGGGTTCGTTAACAAACTGAAATTGAATTGCTCTGTATACTTTTCAAATTATTCTTGTCTTGCTTAAGAGCATAATTTCAAAAAACTACCCAAAGATTTTTTCTCTCTATTACAAATTCAATTAATTTTGTTACTCCTTGAAAACTCATAAATGTAGTAAACGCTGCCTATGGTAAAATATCTATCAAATAATATATCATCTTCTAGAAAATCGTACTGCATTGTTATTATTTTTTCATACGTTTGGATGTTTGTACTTTAGGAACTAATACTAGTTGAAAAACATTATTCGACTAACAATGGGCAGCACATCATCAAAGATTGCAGAATCCACACCAAGTGTCACCTATATTAAGTCTCTACCAACTGATTCAAATAAGAATTCAAAATCTAAGGAGTTGGAAGTATTGATTAAAAATATAAAAACAGTCATTGATGATATGAAAAAGGAAGTAAAATCGAATCGTTTGATTCCAAACAAATTGTTTAATGGATTATTTTCTACTCTCGATTGTCTGCAACATACGCTGGACCCAAGAAGATCACATATTTGCTACTGTGTTGGTGGTACGAATGCAGGTAAATCAACTTTAATCAACAGTGTCTGTAAATAACTAGTGTGCAAAGTTAGTAATGATGAAATGGCTGGCACAGAAAAATTTCAAGTAGTATCCGTACCAGAAGTGAACTCTACTTTCGTTGACACTATTGGATTTGGTTCACAAACAGATGACTCTCCTTTGGTAAAACAATTCAAAGAACAAATGCAAACGTGTTTGTTTCCTGATGCTGTCATTCTGGTTGTCACACGAGAGGATCTGAGAAAAATATGCTCTTTGGAGGAGATTATAAATTGTGTCAACAACGTTCTTAAATGGGTGAGAAAACAACTCTACAATACTGAAATACCTGTTATATGTGTACTCAACAAAATCGATGAATATTTCAATAACGAATTGCCGAATTCAGAAGCTGATGTGAAAAAGCTTGAACAATACACTAGAAAAGCTTTAGAGCTAGTAAATAAGTATTTGGCTATTCCAGCTTCTCAATGTATTCCTGTATCAGCTACGAAAAATTATGGCATCGATCAGCTTCGACTGGGTATTAATGCTGCATCACCACTAAATGCACAAATTATCGACAAAAATCTTGATTATGTTAGTCAATGTCGACAATCAATTGCCAATAAAATTATTGCTGTTTTTTCTACAGCTTCTGCAGCAGTATCTTTTCTTCCGATTGCCGATATTATAATTGTAACTTTTTTCCAAGAATGGATGTATCGGATGTTGGCTTGTTTTTCAGTTGACCCCAATCGAACGCCAAGCTCATTCAAAACGGTACACCGGGCCCATCAAGGAGCAAGTGTGGCGATTCGTACCGGCTCGCTTTTAATTGGAGGTATATTTCAATTAAGTCTTGTTGGCTATCTAATCGGCTCATGTGTCTGTGTAGTGACAGCTTCAACATCAACAGCTGTTCTTGGATGGGCATGCTATTTTTACTTTGTTGATTTGTTTTCGTCACAATCTCTAATGTGGAACATTTTAAAGAACATAATTCCTGTCACTTATTAATATGTATTTCTTTTCGAATATATTTAAGACAAGACACTAGTATGTATTGCTTTTTATCATAATGCGTGACTTTTTTTTCATGTAAAAGGTTTTGTTATATAAATACATTTGGTTTTGTGTTTGCAATACAATTTTTTTTTGGTTCCCATGTAAAAACAAGCGGTCGAAAAATCACATTATAATTGATTTTCTTTCGAAATAATCACAGAAACCTGATTAGGTAGGCGCATTTATGACTAAGCTTAGAGAAAAAATCAATTAAACTAGATTTTCCACCAAAAAAATCTGAATAATCAATGAAAAAAACTGATCGATTATAATTGATTGTAAGACTAATCTATTATAATCGAGGAAAAATCGAATAATTGATTTTATTCCATTAAAGGTTCATTAAAAGTTGATTTTAATCGATTAATGCGAATGAAAATCAATAAAAACCGATTAAATTGATTAAATTTCTGAAACATCGGTTTTCAGGGTATGGGTGTGATTGTTCTTCTCCTCTTCACCCATACCCACATCCCTAACAACATCGTATCCGAAAACCGTCAATGTAGCTGATAAGAACTTCAATGTCAACGAATTTTCAGATTTATCAGCATGAACTGTGAGACGATAATAAAAGACTTTCTTTTCTTTTTGTTTTTCTCTCTGTATATGTTATTCTTCGTAGTCGAATGAGTGTGAATCGTCAATAAATCTCAACGTGAACGCCTTTAATTCTATTCGATTAAGTTCCTCATTCCGTTCTTTCCTTGATAATTTCGTCGAAGAACAAAAATAACCAACCATACAAATAAAAGACAAGATCTTGGATTGAACGAAACAAACTACTGACAAAGGAACTACGTCAATACAAAATGGTTCGATTGACAGTGCAAAATAACATAAGATTGTATCCTTATTCATTTATTGGAGGTTATTATTGTTGAAAGATACCTGTTCAAATATGACAAATGCACGTCGATCATATCCTTCAGCAACTATGATCGGAACAGGTCAGAACATGATAGAGTATATGCTGAATCCGGTCTTTCAAGTACGAATAAATGTATTGCGAAGCAAAAAAGCCGCTAATTCAAGTATTTATTGATTCCATTCAGATGCTGAAGAAATTGCCAAGGTTTGTAAATCTAAAACTTTTTGATTTTAACAGCAGCGAAAATGTTTTGTAATTGACAATATCAGCCAAGACAGACTATCGAAAATGACAGAATTCACTTTTGCAGACAAACTGCAAAAGTAAATTCTGTATAGACTATCTTTATGATGGAACTAACTGATATTGTGCAATTACATCGGCACTATTACATAGTGATATATACACCACGACCATTGAATGTTTTTCGTTCTTCGTATAGTATACATATAGGCTGTTTATAACTAGCGAACTATTGTTTTTACTATACGATGACATCATTAAACATTCTTTTTTCTTTTTATCTTCCATCTATACGAGATAAATCGAAAATAATCCTTTACTTAGTATCGAAATGCGTCCATATATGCTGCCATAGTTATTCTGAAATATAATATATAAGTAAATGAACGACTTAATAATGAAATATAAAACTTTGATTTTAACAGCAGCGAAAATGTTTTGTAGTTGACAATATCAGCCAAGACAGACTATCGAAAATGACAGAATTTACTTTTGCAAGTTGTTTTCGATCTATATCATATAGATGGAAGATAAAAAGAAAAGAATGTATAATGATGTCATCGTATAGTAAAAACAATAGTTCGCTAGTTCTAAACAGCCTATATGTATACTATACGAAGAACGAAAAACATTCAATGGTCGTGTTGTATGTATCAGTATGTAATAGTGCCAACGTAATGGCACAATATCAGTTGGTTCCATCATAAAGATAGT